AGAAGAATTTTCAGATCTTCTAGTAAGTGGCTAGTGATTTTGAAAGAAAATGTGAATATTCAGATTTTAGCTAATTGTGGGAGGGAGTATTTACTCATTGCAAAAACTAGATGTAAAAATATTTTTGGGGAAAATGTTTTTCAGGCTTGGTATAAATTTAGAGTGAAAGAAGAACTCTTCAGAAATGATGATGAGTCCATACTTAAAGTGCCTCTATTGTTTAATAAAAAAATTTGACATAAATAATAAACCAATTTTTTTTATGAAAAATGGTATAATGCAGGAGTGAGGGTAGTAAATGATTTATTACAGGACTCTAGAGAATTTTTATTTTACGATTTTATTGAATTTTGTAATGTATATGGTTTAGTAACTAATTATTTACAGTACTATGAAGTAATCCAAAGTATAAAAAAAATACTTGAGGCCTGTTACCCCTCTAACTGGATCGTTAATGTATCCCTCTATCCCGTTGAGTCTTGAATTAATTTTAAAGAAAAAAAAGGATCACAAGACTTCTATCAACTACTTATTAAAAAGGAAATTAACATTACGGGGCAGCATAAATGGGGAAGTATTTTTGATTTAAGTAAAGAGAAGTGGAAAAAATATACAATATTCCTTTTAGATCAACTCAAAACACCAGACTTCGTTGGTTACAATTCAGGATAAATCATTTCATTTTAACAACCAACTTGTATGCATATAAAATTGGTATCTCAAACAACCCTAACTGTAATTTTTGTAATAGGGAAAGGGAGACAAATTGTTCATATGTTATGGGAATGTAGTGAAGTCCAAAATTTTTATGCCAGTTTTGAAACACTTTTGGATGCCCTTACAATAGTGTTCCCTATCAATAAAGAATCAATCTTATTTGGCCTGGTAAATAATACTGGGGTCTACAATCGAGCAGATAATGAAGTATATCTGATTATTAAATCTTATATCTATAAAACCAGAACTCTGCATAATACGTTAGCGGTCTTTGCTTTAGTCAATGTTATAAAAGAAAACTATATTGTCCAAAAGTTTATTTCAACTGGTAAAGGTAATTCTTCCTTACAAATCTTTTCAAATGAATGGAGTAAATGGAAAAAACTAGTAGATATTGCCTAAGGCTTGGCTGTTTTCAGGCTGATGACTTCTGTATCTTTTCCATTTTTTTTATATGCTCAATATTGAGCTCATTTGATAACAACTAAAGTTCTCAAAGAGTAAGTCTGTTACATTCCTTCCATTTCATGCTTGTTCCAACTCCTTCTTTGTCTTTCATCCCAATCTTTTCTTTGTCTATCCTGTTCTTAAGCCTGTCACTTCTAATTCATACTATTCTTCTAACTTTTTCTCCAAATTGCAACTCATTTGCTTTGCTGTTGATGTTTTGGATTGGTTTACTCTGTTGTAGAAACCCTTTGTTTAAATGAATATCTCAAAATGATAATAATAATAAAAAATACTAATAACTTGTCAATCTATCTCTTATTCCAATCTATTCTTTTACTTTTTTCTAAAAAAAAAAAAAAAAAAACCAAAAAAAAAAACAAATATAATGTGTGGTAGCACTTCCATACCTCCTCACAATAACAGCTCTCAGAATATTAGATCACTGAACCTACTAGTATTTAATTGATTATTTTAGAAGAGATCTGCTAACCCTTTTTTTTTTTTTTTTTTCCCCTTTTTTTTATTTCCAAAGGGAAGTGTTAGCATTCTTTGGTTGATTGATTTCCTGTTTATTGATTTATAAGTGTGGCTGTATGTGTGAAAACTTGAAGGTGCGAGTGTGGTGTATGTACACGATGCATACATGGCTTTACCTGTATGTGTTATTAGGTGTTTGGTGTATGCCTGGGTGCATGTTTATTGCATGTACATGTAATATGTATAGGCATGTGTGAGTAGACATGCACATATTCTTTGAGAGAAGCTCATCTGTATGTGTATAGCCTTGTATACATGCATTCAGGGAAGTGAAAATGTGTATGTTATTCTGGGAGAGTGTTTTTCATATTTATAAATACTACTGTTGTATTATGTACCTGTACATTATATTGAATAAAAAAATTAAATTAAAAAAAAAAGAAGATATTTTCACATTTATTACAACATACCTTGAAACCATATAGGTGACAAGCCGCAAGCCGTCTTACACTTGCTTGTACTACTATTAATAACCCGGCTCACCCTCACTTTATCAAAACTACTCCATTCGTTTGATTATACTGATGATAATTTATACTAGCCAATTTAACAAAACAAAAAACAAAAAAACAAAAAAACAAAAACAAAAACAACAAAAAATCACAAGCGATATTGTAAATTAATCCCCGGATTCATTCTCGAGTTCACTTTACATACATCAATATCACTTTCAAGTTATTTGTTACATGAACATAAATTTGTTTTTAAAAAAATACACATATGTGAATTTTTAAAATTTTTTTCAGTAATGTAAATGATTTTCTTTATATTTAGTTACATTTAGGATCCTGTCTTTTTTTAATTAGAACCCTTGATCATTAAGCCAACATATATATGTCATCGAATATTTAAACATAGTTAAACTTGCATTTTGAAGTAAAAAAAACCCCACAAATAACCAAAATTTAATTAGCATTTATCGTTTTCATTTATTTTGAGCATTATTCAAAATGTTAACGTACGCGAGCTTTTAATGAAGGGTCCTAAATATCGTGAAATCCGTCCATTAATTGGAATGTGTATTTCAAGATACTTATGGAGTCTATTATTGAAAACATAAAGACTTGCATTAAAATAGAAATACAATATAAACGAATGTACTTTACCTACATCAATATCATACATTTAATCGTAACTCGCAAGTTTTAACACATCAGCAATATAGCATAAACATAACTTATAACAAAGCAAATACTACTTAACCCGTAAATAAATCAGGTCAGCGATTAATCTTCGTCTCCTCAGCCTCTATATTTGTAACTGTACACCACACTTAAATGATAATTGCGGTTGGTTTTCATCATGTTCCGTGATAAGCACATTTTTGCTACTGTCCACTGCAAGGCGAGTAAATTTGTGTTATTTTCTTAATAAACGCTTTTCTTTTTCTAATGTATTGTGGAAGTGCTTTAGTGCAATCAGTGCTTCATACGTCGATTTTATTCCAATATGTCCTTTTGTCACCCTAAAATGCAATGTTACTAGCGAAAATAAACTGTTAGTCCAATAATCAATGTACATGGTGTGGTATCTGTCTGTTAATAATACCAGTGAGGTAATGGGACATAACTCATCCTTACATCTCTGTAATTATATATCGAATTCTTTAATGTGAGGTCATTAAAAGGTTGTTATATGTTATGGAACACACAATGTTGAATTGTGTGTTTACACCAAGAAGTAATCAGATTCAATCCGGGAATGAAATAACCACCTATTCACAGAAAGCACGATAGATGCTACACATGTGTCACTATATAACTCATTTCAGTTGTTTTTGAGATAGAAGTATATTATTCGAAACGACATGTTGAGATTAATGCTACCGAACCTCAAAGTAACCTCTATAAAATATGTGTATTTCGATGGCATATCGTGTACACACCCAGTGCCTTATCTCGACATGCTCTTACACATGTACAAGTGTTAGCCAGCTTGTACCGCAAGGGCTGACTTATCTGTAATCCAAGACACAAACTAGGTATGTGCCAATACATTTCCTTGGATATGCCATGGGTTTGTGATATCATTAAACTCTTACAGGAATCCAGTATGTTTTTCTCTACGTCGATTTCCTTGTTAGCTGTTTGTTTTATCATTTCCGGCTAACGCTCATCTAAAACCCAGAAATGACTGTCAACTTCCTTTCATTTGGCAATTAATGGCGCAACACATACCAATTGTTAACGATCGTGTTTACAATAATAAACCAATAGTAGGGAAACAAAAGTCTACTATCAGTTATTATATAAATTCAAGTAGATATTGCTGTCGAAGCGATTTCCCTTTCCAGCATACTAATCGCCAATCAGGTGGCTATGTTGTTGTAACTATATAAAAACTGTCTGAAACAACGATGCCATGCTTATCGAGTGGTGGATCAGCTGTGTATACATGTTCCTTTCTATCTTAAAATACTTGAGCTAATTACAGTCTGCAGTTTATGATCTCTCATAAACAAATCACCAGCTGTGCAATTTCATCCTAAGAGTATCAAACATCTAACTCTTAATCTCAGACATGTAAAATGCAGTCAATTTCCATTCATTCGCATCAGCGATGACATCGCAGTATCCTGTTTTACTAATACCTAACAGAGATACCGTTTATCAAAACTATCAGAAATACTTCATAGTAGTTTTATTTCTTTTTGCATTCTCTACCATAAAGAATCGAAGATTTGCATTGACAATGCATTGCTAAGTAAACTTTGTATGTGCATAACAGTATTCTTTTGATCTTTAATCTCTTTTCGGCAATCCTGATTGTCCATATGCTCTAAATAGGTCCTGTCTTATCAAACAGGTTATTGCATCCCTCAACCCATTGCACGTGTGAGGAGACGGTGTAATGTAAGCTTTACTTTACTGTAATTGACACCTGCAATGTGAAACTATTAATCACCTACCAGATGGACTGTAATAACTGACACTCAGAATATGATCTGGGTCGCAGTTTCATTTAAATCATTAAACGAGAGCAGCACACTTGTTTTTATGTGTGTGGCATTGGAGTATCCATATCGTTCTCACGGATTGTTAGCATTACTACGATTTTTGCGGAACGGGACAGAGTAATATAAACAGACAACGATGGAACCCATAACATCTGTAAGCCTTGAGATATAGGTTAATATACATGCATTCCACACCAACAGGGAAACGGAAACAAAGCTACGGACATATATCTAGTTTACACCGTCATTGTGAGGACAGTTTCATAAAATATTGCAAGAAAGCACTTTATTAGTCATTTAAAAAAAAACTCTTTGTAACAGGTATTCGGAAAATCTACAGATGGCTGGACATGTGTTATTTTGTTTGACAGTGATGGTTTTTATAACGAAAGTGCCAAGTCGTCGTGTTGTTGACCTATCCTACGATATGGATTACAACAGTCTGACGTACCCAATCAATCCTCGATTCAACCTTTCGATCCAATATTCAGGGCCATACGGAACTGCTCCATGGTATGTATAACACCGATACTCCTTTGACTCGGATATATTTCTAGTTTTATCAATCGTCTTGTACTTATCTATTTTCGTATTAACCCACATGTCTGCAACTTCCTTTGATAGATGACCGGAATGTATCGTTGTCACAGAGGCATCTTCAAAACAAACGGAAATTTTGTTTCTCTTTTAAAATTTCAGCATGAAATATTTTAATTCCATGTGTTGTCTTCTTTTACTATGATCTTATTATAAAAACACCATTTTTGTGAACAAAAATTTCTTTATAGGAAACGGAATTCATTAAAATCTGGAAAAGCTCATTTATCTATGAAAACTTCACCATTCCCTGCTTTTTAAAATTAAGGTATGCGAGATGAGATCGTTTGTCTAAAACAGTGAAAAATGTGCGATAATTTGTTTTGTCGGCTTAATCATTTTTTTTTATCATTATTACATTCCTAAAGGCCCGTCAACACATAACACGTTATTAGGGCCATCAAACGGTAAAACACACAGCGATCCAAAAGGAAATAACATTAAACAAACTAAAAGGTAAAAGACAAATGTTAAAAATCATAAATGGGTATGTTAACACAAAAGATTAAAATGCTACGTCAAAGTCTATTATATAGACCAACATCTTTCAGGTAATGTAGAATTTTACAAATCTCAACAGTTTCAAAAAGGGATTTTAGACATGTGATATTACGATAAAAACATTCTCGGGTAGACAAAAGGCCAATGCAGTCCAATAAAAATGTTTAACGGTGAATGGCTCATCACATCCTATGCACCGAGGATTATCTTCGCCTTTCAACATATATGAGTGTGTAAGGTATGTATGACCCATCCGAAGACAGGCAAGGACAACTTCGTCTCGGTGGTTGTCTCTATAGCCTAAAGAGCATTCACCGATAACAGGTTTAACGGAGTGCAATTTGTTATTGGTATATTATTTCCAGTCCCCCTGCCACCGAGTCTATAAAATTCTGTTAAGCGTTTAAATGTTCAGTGGTTGTTGATAGTATGAATCCACAACAATTCTGACTAGGTAATGAGCGGCCGATATAGTACAAGCCTTTATTTGACAACAATTTTTCCAACTTATATTAAATCAATCTTGTTGATCGGGATGGAGGATGAAGATATTTGGAAGCTCTTGCACAGATGATCTTTGAAAATGATTTTCAGTAATCGGATGATTTAAACAGCTTCGATATTTCTTCAGCTAGTGCATGCATGTTGTTTTTATTTCCCTTTCACATTTATTATTTTGAAAAAAAGACGGATCATGTACATGTGAAGTATACAAATGAATACAAAACATAACAGCAGGACATTATAATATCGGAGGTCTGAAAGCCCTCATGGTTGGGGAACTCCGAAGTCAACATGTAACAAACTACCATTTATATGTTGACGGGCCGTTAAGAATGCAATGATAATAATCATATTAACAAACTAACAATGGTCAAGTGTCATGGTAAAGTCAACAAAAGTGATGGGTTGCTGTGGGAAAAATTAATATTATTATCATTACATTTTTAACGACCCGTCAACACATAAAATCTGCAGGCAATATCAAAAGAACTAAATGTAAAAAATAAAAAATCCCATCAGGCGAATACAAAGTTATATTAGTGTATCAAGATTCCAAGAAGTCTATCAAACACTGGAATGAATTCTGCTAGTAACATTAAATAACTAAAATAAAGTACTAAATTAAACAAAAGGTAATGTTTCCCAGTTGAAAAAAGCTGTGGATGCATAAAGTATATACAACATGATTGCGTATTCTGCAAGTACAGCGTATACCTTTGTATCCCTTATCGCGAACTGGAGAATTTGAATTATGAGATCAGTGGACTACTTTTACATCGAAACCATTTTCTTCTGTGAAGGTGAGGGAAAGACCAATGTGCCACCAATTACCGTATGCGGAGAATCTTCGTCTAAAGATGATTAAAAATCCTAGTGCTTTTAATTCAATAGAATACATAGATAATACTTTAAATGTTTTCAATAGCATTAAAAGTATTTCTGAAATGCAAATATCTTTATAGCTTTAAAAGCAACACAAAATTATCTGTAAATTATGTTTAAATTCCTACAATTTGCAGTTGGTCAATTTCACAACTAAAGTTGTGTTTTCATTGGTGGAAATCATCAAAAGCCGTATCTAACATTCATGGAAAAATTAACGCGTTCCGTGATAAAAATAAACGAACTTTTGACGTTTGTTTGGAAAAAGCCCAGGAAATACGAGAATAATGTACGAAACAGATAAACATGTCTATATCGGCAACAACATGTGTTTCAGGTAATCTCAAAAATTCACCAGGAGTCTAGGGTAACAATAACGTTCAGAATATATGAAGGATACAGAGACAGTCTGCTACGTTTATATAATGTAGATATTTGGCAGCTGAAATGCGGTAGTGCTGATATGATGGTACGAAAATCCAAACAGACATGTCTATATGAAACAACCTTTCAGTAATAGTTAATATGTTGATGTAGATCCTCTGTTAGTATCAACTGACCAGGCAAACAGGTTGCTAACTTTGCTTTCAACTACATAAGCTTGTGTTCGCAGATTGGTTGGTAAGTTTCTCGGTCTTAAGTGGTGCCTATTCAACTTTTAGACCGGTAAAAAAAAAACAAGCAAACAAACAAAGCCGGCCATCTTCGAATTTGACTCCGAAAGCTTGTTATAACTACTTCAAAGTTCGTGGTGTTGATGAATCTTTCAATATAAGAGCTATCTACCTCGCCCTTGCCCTTGATTATATTCAAAGAAACAAAATAATGAGAGCTGTTATCCATTCAGACTCTCTTTCTGTTCTAAAAGGTCACTTAGGCCATCAACCGGTAAAACACACAGCGATCCAAAAGGAAATAACATTAAACATCCAAATCGTAAAAGACAAATGTTAAAAATCTTAAATGGGTATTTTTTCAGGTAATGAATTTGTGAATTGTCACGGTAATAAAAAAGAGATTTTAAGGGTATTTTTTTTCAAACCAGGAACGTGGTTTCCTTAAACACTCATCTAACGAATCTACGTATCGAGACGGAGTGTTCACTATATGACATGATGGAAAATAGTTTAATCTAAGTGATGATACCGTTAACTGTATCATTTATTCAATATAAAAAAGTAAAATGTACCTGACCCTGGTGAACAACAGTTTTGTTACCATCCACTTGTTTCCAACCACCCTGCTTCCTATTATTAACTTTAAAGTCGGGACAAAATCCCCCTGATGCTTAATATAAAACTAGCCCTGTATACTGTTGGCATTGCTACGTGATGTGATTTTTAGCGTCAACAAATTCAACGTTTGTTCCGTACTAGGGTTTTTAATATGCTATATATTTGGGGCAGAAATGAACAATATTGTGCCTAAATACCACTAAACCATAAATTTGAATAACGGCAATGATTACATGGTGGATAATTTTTCTTGAACTCATGTGTTGACAGGTCGTTAAGATAGTAATAATCAATTTCTTGAATTTTAAGACCCAAAACTAAATATTTCGGTTGGGTGGAAATTGCCTAAAATTAAGAGCAGCAATCCCTTCTTTTTATCATATAAGCAAACCCCATTATTGTTCTCTATCAAAGCATAAAATCCTAAGAAAAGAGCAAAGTTTTAGAACGTTGACAAATATAGGATTTAAGCTTTTTTCATTTTTTATTTTATTTATTTATTTTTTTTTTTTTTTTTCATTTTTTTGTTTCCTTTACTGATGGAAAATCGTCATTTTGCTTATCATCCAGCATTTCAAGGAGACCAGAAACAAAGATCGCCTGGAAAATAATAAAAAATAGTTTATTCATGAATAATAAAAAAAATCTAATTTCCAATGACATGTATTCTGACAAAATAAAAAGCAGTAAAAAAGTTTTGTTTCTTCATTCATGCTTTGGAAATACTTTCCATCATCTCACTTTCCAAAAAATCATCCACTGGATTTTGGGCGTTTCATACATACTAAATATCAAGGATACTTTACTCCGGGTGGTTTCTGACCTCTTCGCTAATCTTAATCATTTTTCTTTCTGTGTATGAATTTTACTTAACATCCGTCGAGATAATCTCGCATATATCGTTATCACATTGTTTGGTATACATTCTTTGATTGTGTTAATGAGTATATCCGAAAAGATATCGACAGAAGTGTATAAATTATCATTTGTTAGAAGATCAACACAGTCAACATTATGTAGTTTTTCTCCATACACTTTTACCTTAATCATTCAGCCAAATGTTGCGTTTAAGAGACGATTTCATTGATACGTATATTTAGACTTCAGAAAACAGGAAACAGGGGCAATGGTACCTGAGAGGCTGGTCTAAAAATCCCCAACAGAACATTTATATGTCTACTTAGGATAACTTCCACATATTACATCAATTAGAGACGAGGTATATCAGTAAAACGGTAGACGACGATATCTCAGGATTTATAGCAGTTCATATACATGTGTTTTTAGTTTATCCCATAAAGAGACTGGACAATTTTGTCTTTCAAAAGTACCATACAATGGAGAAGTAAAATTTATCTGGCTAAATCAATTTTACCCTAATGCATTCAAGGGAGGCAACTTGAGGTGTGGGCTACAATTAACAGATATGTCTTTTAAACGTACACAAACATGATCTTTTTATCTGACAAAAAGTTTCAAAGAATAATCCATAGTTTGACGACATCATTCCGTTTATAATATGTTCATCTTATTCAAAAGACTTTGAACATTGAGATGTACCAACGGATATTCTATATCAGTCCAAGCCTTGGGACAGACAGAAGAGATTTGATATATGTATACTTTTTAGTGTTTGAACTTTGAAGGCTTACTTTTCAATTTCAATTCATATCGCTTTCTGTTGTAATTTAGCATATTTACCCTTATAAAATTAAATGAAGGCCAAGGTCATTCATTTTAACAAAATTGGTAGTCTTTCACCCAAGCAAGCTACTGGTCCAATACCAACACTATGGGCCTTTTGGTTATTAAGTCCAAAATGTCGATTGTTTACAATGCACGACGGGCGGACAAATTGCGATCGCAATAGAATTGAGATAGTAATAGTTACAGAGACATGACGTCATGGTATCGTGTATATCTTCAAAAACCGATTGCAACACATCATCGTTTTGTTTCACTTTTCCAAATAAATGCATACTATTATTGTCTTTATATTTTCAGGCTGGAGTTTGGAAATGTGGAATTTGCAGAGCACACAGGGACACATGTGGACTCTCCAAACCACTTCGACAAGAACGGTTTACAAGCTCATCAAGTCAGTCTCGAACAACTTATGGGTCCAGGCGTTGTGATCAATGTGAAGGCCAATGCTGCTAATGACATAGACTATCAAGTGACAGATCAGGACCTGATGGCATGGGAAGAAAAACACGGCCGAATCCCGAATGGAGCTATTATATTAATGAATTCTGGGTGGGGTTCTCGTTACCCAGACTTTGCTAGTGTGTATAACTCTTCAACCTTCCAAGAAGACTTCTCGTCGCTCCACTACCCGGGCTTCCACTTGAATGCTGCGCAGTGGCTTGTAAACAATCGCGACATCAATGCTATTGGATGTGACACCCCATCAGCTGACTACGGAAGGAGTTCTTCATTTCCAGTTCATCAGCTGGTCATGAAAGAAGGGATTCTTATAATCGAAAATATTGCAAATATGGACAAACTTCCCGCGAGTGGCTCTTACATCTACGTTCCAATGCTCAAATTTAGAGGAGGAACAGGTTCACCGGCGCGCATGTTTGCCGCCATCGAAGACGAGGGAGACCGAACAAACAGTGCCACGTCTGTTTTCTCTTTTGTATCAGTTGTTGGATACGTGGCCATCTTAGCATTATTTTAAATTTAGGTTGTTTACTCCTGTTTTTACACTTTTTAGTTGTACAACCTGTCGATAGCATCAGTGTTATTATGCTGGTTGTATTTCAATGTGTTTATTAACTGTATTTAAAGAATGGTAGCGTCTTGTATAATAATTCACAAGATGTTTTGTAGTTAGTGTGATCATTAGCATCAAAATTATCAGAACATCATAAATATAGCCAAACAGTGCGTTAAAATTACGCTGCGTCTTATGTATGAAAATGTAATTGTCGTGTTGATTAAAGATTGTACAAGACACAAGTTATTATTATGACATTCTAAACGGCCAGTCAACACATAAAAGGTCATCAGGGCAATCAACACACAGTGATTCAAAAAGGAAATAGCATGTAACAAACTTAAAGGTAAAAGACAAATGCTAAATATTTTAAATGGTTACGTTACCATAAAAGATTAAAATTGTAAGTCATAGTCTCTAGTCTAGACCAACATCTTTCAAATAACCTAGAACTTTATTAATCTCAACAGGTTTAACGGAAAGCAATTTATTATTTGTATATGTATTCCATTCTTCCTGCCACCGAGTCTATAAAATTCTGTTAAGCGTTTAAGTGTTAAGTGATTGTTGATAATATGAATCCACAACAATTCTGACTAGGTAATGAGCGGCCGATATAGTACAAGCCTTTATTTGACAACAATTTTTCCAACTTATATTAAATCAATATATACTTGTTGATATTAATGCGGGATGGAGGAAAAAAAACGTGAAGATATTTGGAAGCTCTTGCACAGATGATCTTTGAAAATGATTTTCAGTCTTCGCCTTTCAACATATATGAATGTGTAAGGTATGTATGACCCATCCGAGGACGGGCAAGGACAACTTCGTCTCGGTGGTTGTCTCTGAAGCCTGCAGACCATTCACCGATAACATGTTTAACGGAGTGCAATTTGTTATTGCTACAGGTATTCCAATCCTCCTGCCATTAAGCTTTTAAATTTGATTAATAAATGGCTTAAAATCTGTAAAATGAAGTTTAAAAACAACAGGTGGTACCGATAAAGCTTCCTTTGTGGCATGATCTGCTTTTTCATTGCCTGGTATTCTCATGTGCCCAGGAACCCAGCAAAAAGCAACACGAAAGTTAAAAGCAAGTTCATGATATAGTATTAAGGTATTACAAATGAAAATATTTTCGATATTTCTATTGCTAAGAGTATGTAGAACAGAAAGAGAGTCTGAATGGATAACAGCTCTCAATACTTTGTTTCTTTGAATATATTCAAGGGCGAGGTAGATAGCCCACGCTTCTGCCGAGAATATTGAGGCGTTGATCGGTAGACAGTATCCATAGATTTCATCTTGTGTAACTATGGCCGCAGCAACCTTATCATTATCTTTTGAACCATCAGTAAATAAATGTAGAAATATTTCATATTTTAACTGCAATTTCGAGAAGGATGAACGAAAGATGCAAATGTCTGTGTCTGATTTAACCATTTCATGAAGTGACAAGCCAACTTCAGGTGAAATCATGAGCTAGGGTGGAATTTCTATCGTTCCAAATGACTGAATTTGGTTTACATCAATATTTGTGTTTTGTAAAAGAACTGAAATTCGATTACCGAATGGAATGGTGTTTGGTTTGCCTTGAAACAAGGTTTTATATTTTGGATCAAATACAGGGAAAAGCAGGATATGAAGGATTTGACCTTAGCTGAATGGTGTATTGCAAATCCAATTCATTTCGACGGCTATTTAGTGATGGTTCGTTAGCCCAGAGCTACATAGAGGCTTGCTGTAGGTGTGGTCTTAAAAGCTCCGAGAGCGAGCCTGAGACCTTGGTGATGAACAGTGTCTAATAATTTTAAACATGAAGGTCAAGCAGATCTATACACAATGGAACCGTAGTCCAATTTTGCCCAAATCGAACAAAACAGCAACTGTGCTCCTTCTTTAGAAAAGCCTAACGCACAAAGGTTTCAAGTCTAACCAAATGCTCGTTGGTACCTCGCTCAGATCTAAAACCGCTTTGTTGGGGTGAAATTATGCGATTGGATTCCAGATACTAAATTAATCTTGAATTTATCATCCGCTCTAGAGTTTTACAAACGCAACTCGTAAGTGATATTGGGCAGTAACTGGAGAAATCTATTGTGTCTTTACCCTGTTTAGGGATAGGAATCTCAGTTGCCATTTTCCAAGACTTTGGGACATTTCCCGGTCTAAAAATATAGTTAAAAATATCTAGAAGTTTTGCTAATGATGACTTTGGTAGATGTTTTAGGAACTGATAGTGAATATCATTAGGTCCTGTTGCAGAGTAATGTGATTTTTTCAACGATTCTCGAAGTTCGAACATTGAGAAAGGTTGATTATGTAAGTTTCATTGTTTTCCGAAGAGAATTTCAATTTAGTTTTTTCACGCGTGGTCTTAGATTTTTGAAATCTTTTGGAATGATTTTTTGCAGAATTTTTGGTAAATGCAGATCCTAAATCATTTGCAATATCAAATTTCGATGTGACTAATTTTCCATTAGTTTTCAGATGTCCCGTTGTTTTGAATGATGTTTTACCAATGATTCGTTTAATCCGAATAATTTTGCAGTTGTTTAAGCTATCGCTTGTGGGGTTGTTTTTGAATTGCCTAAAAGCGGTTTTCCTATTTCGAATAGCTTTATCACAGTCTTCATTAATCCAAGGTTTTTTATTGCGTTTTCTATTGGATTTTGGTATACATTCTTCGGCTCTCTCAAGAAGTTCGGTAGTAAAGGATTCTCTCGGATCTTCCCAAAGGTTGTTATGACCATTAAAGTCACTCAAAATTATGAAAGGGGAAGGCAGTTACGATAGGAGTTCGTCTAGTTGGTTCTTCGTAAAATCAGAGTTTGGAGGGAGATAGATGGAGCATACTGTTAGCGTTCTATGGAGCGTAATACTAACAGAAGTTGCCTGGATGTCTGTATTTAATGGTGTATTTCTGTGAGGAACTTGGTTGTCGACCAGGATAGCAACTCCACTGGTTGTTTTGTTGCCAACAGGACCGAAGCAATTAAACAATGAATAGTTTCTGAAATTGATATTTGTCTCGGCTCTGGTGAGCGTTTCTTGGAGACAGATAACACTAGGGTTATGTTCCTGAGAGAGTCGAAGAATTTCATCAATATTGGATCAAAGACCTCTACAATTCCATAGGATTATTGTATACATTATGGCTAACAAAAAAAGAGATAAGTGGGGGACCATTGATAATTAGCTCGACTATTTAACCTAAGGTGGTTTGACGGCTTTAATAGAGATCTTGGAGGATCTGGAAGTAGCTGCCTGGTACTCCATATACTCCAGAGAGCCGAATTTGTTGAAGGTGTGAATTGGGTCGTCAGACCCTGTTTTCCTTCTATCTGAGGAAACTTGAATTTTTTGTTTTGGTTGGTTTTTCACTTTTGAGTTATTGGAGCAGGTTTTGATGGTGATTGAGGGTTCTGATTCTGTTTTGATGGTGATGGTAGCGATGACTGTGTTGAAGAAGTCTTTGATGCAGCAGGCCGAAGGCAAGAAATATTGTTGCATGCCATGTCAGTCTGTGTACCTGCATCACATGTCTGTGTTGCAGCATCACGGACGTAATACCAACCTTTGCACGACTCGCATAGGATGGACCCGACACAGGTATTTTACCAATCTTTCTTGCTTCGGGGAAAGAAATGTTTGTATACTTGACGCGAAGGATTTCTTTTTCCCTGCGCCAAGCAGAATAATCTCTTGAATATATCGACCATCACAAGCACCATCTGCCGACCTATCTTCGTGGACCGCAACTCCACATTGAACGTAAACTTTCTGTTTCTCGCAGTTATCAGAATGATTACCAAATTTCTGGCAACCAAAGCATCGCAGTGGATTTGGAATGTAAACATCCACAACTGCATTTTCGAAGCCAACCTTTACACGTTTCGGTAAAATTGGGGTGTTAAAAGTAAGAACGAAAGTATTGGTGTGACGGATGCTGCCATCTCGCTTCACCCTGATCCGTTTAAAAAGGTTGACCTGTTGTTTCTCTATGAAGTAACTGAAGATGTTCTCCTCGCTCTCTCCTTGAAGAGATGGACAGCGTATAACGCCCTTTGATGTGTTCAGGGAGGAATGAGGGACAACCTGTACAGCTATGTCGAAAATTTGTCATTCTATAGAGGTTCTTTGCCTTTCGCTGGCGGATGACTTAAACAAGGAGTTTTTTAACACTCTTTGGAGTACCGCATGTCGATAGGATTGTTTTTTTTCTATAACAAAAGGTGAAACGGATGACATTGGTTTATACTTTTCCAACAATCGTATTACGATGAATTGGTTGAAATCATGGTCATCTTCTGAGTCTGATGATGAAGGACAAGGTCGTTTATTTTGGTTTTTGTGCTCATAGTTAGGTGTTTAGGTTTTCATTACCCGTGCTTCTCACCCGCCTCGGAGCCCAACAAGGGGACACTACTGATGGTACGAATCTCCGGTACAGAGTGCCAAGGATACACAGGTATTATACTCGAAAGAATAGAATTCTCTCGATTTGCCCTTAAGCCACCGCCTTCTGGAATACAACTCTAAAATAAAAGTTACAGAAATAGATGGGAATACGGTTGAGTGAAATAAAAGGAAAAAAACATGACACTTAGGACATAAAGTTTACCCAGGGCTTGGCATGACCAGCCGATTCATCATTGAGGACCACAATGACCATCCGTCTTACGGAGATAGAGGCCAAAGTGGTGTATTGGGGAAAGATCATGCGAGATTGCTTGAGAATAAAGCGCAAACCACATAACCGCCCCTCAACCACCAGGAGATTCTTTCTCCCAATACTAACGGGACGCAACACACGGCAGACAGTTTGCCCCTTTTAGTGGACTTTTACTACATGTAGTGGGATACAGCGGATATATCATAACCCCTTTCCGCTGGGGAGCCTTGATTACAGAGTAGAATTAGTCAGAGCATTAGTTGGTGGATATTCATCACGGAAACGTGGATCTAAGGAAATGAACTATCCAGAGGTTCAACAGGAAAACATCATGAGGCACGTAAATGCTCATCTGCCTGATGGAAAGCGCAGATTTTGCTATCATCGCACAGTCCAAAATATTAGGAGGGAAACAGTGTATGGCTGTTCTATTTGCGGTGTGCACATGTGCAAAGGTGACTGTCACAGATTGTTTCACCACTGGTTATAGGACAAACACAAGTGA